TAGTACGGGGCCCCTTAGCCCCTGCAAACACTCATCCCAAGTACACCCATGTATACATATATAAGGGGCTGAGTATGTGACGATCACTTCTCACAATCTCATTGGGGCCCCTCACAACCATACGTATGTATGTGATCGCAGGCAACCAAATCCTGAATCTGATTCACAACACATACCTGCAATCACATCAAAGAGTCAAGCAAACAATCCACGCACTACACGGAGTCAATCCCAACCAATCTCCTCACTCATACCCCTCGCTTTAGCCATGTAACTCTTAACCTCCTGTCCTACCAACCTTTATTAAATACTCAGTACCTTTGTTAAATGGCCATTCAATAAAAGGCCGGGTGAAACCTTGATGAAACAATGAAATCACTAGGGGTAAAGCCTTTTAGGTTGAGTGTGGAGGGTGAGTTGGAATTGAGTCATAAACCGACGAATCGACAACCGAGTTGTTATCACTGATAACAGATGATGATCCTCAAGGGATCAAGCTGAATCTAGTCCGGACCTTGAATCAACGATCAAGACGGCCTGTAACACATGACAGGTCAATGCCCCAGGCTAAACCTATAAGCTCATGGAGGACAATCTCGATATCATGATTTTACCAAAATCATCCTAGTTAAGCCTATCTCTAAGCAACATGGCAAAATCTCCCCCATTCAGAGTGGACCATCAAAATCGCCACCTCTCAAAATATAATCGATCTCCTCTAAACTCAGAAGATTTCGGCAACGCTTCCCGTAGGAAAAGTGTCTTTTCAGAATTTATATAATTCCAAATATGAAAGCAGAAATAAACTTCAATTCTGGTAAGTCAAATTTTGTCTAACTCTCTGAATTAGCAAAAATTTGGGCAGCACTCCCTTTAGAACGGGAGGCTTCCCAAATTTATACTAAGTCAGATATGAACTTCAAAAGACAACTTGAGCTCAATTTTAGACAAGATTTAACTAACTCCTTAGTTTTGCAGAAATTTCGGCAGCACTCTCTCTAGAAAAGTGTTATTCCAAAATTTATACAAGGCTAAATCCAGAGTTTGAAAGTAACTTTGACTTCTCAAAGTCCAATTTTGTCTAACTCCCTGATTTAGCAAAAAATTGGGAAGCACTCCCTTTAGAAAAGGATACTTCCCAGATTTTAACTAAGTCAGATATAGAAAAAGACAGATTGAACTTTTGACAAATCAAAATTTGACTAACTTCTTGGATTTTGTAGAAATTTCGGGCGCTTCTCGTAGAAAAAGTAGCTTGCCAAAATTTATACTAAGACAAGTATAAGAAAAGATCTCAGAAAATGCAAGAATTGACCTAAGTAAAAAAAAAGTTACTGTAGAAAATGCAGGAATTGACATTAACTCCTATGGCTCTAGCACGTGGCGAGCAACTAAAGCAATTACCTATCAACCTGAAACTCAAACTAAGCAGTGGCCTCACTCAGTCGCATGCAAGTCAAATCACAAAAGGTAAGTACTCTCACCATCCCAAAATATACCTGAATAAACAATAATTCATGATCTTTCAATGATTGAACCCTTTATACCCATCTTACAAAGGGCATAGGCCAGGCCGCCTGAACTTATAGAGCGCGCCCAGCTTAGCCAGGCCTAGGGTCAGAATACCCAAACTTATAGAGCGTTCTGACTTGGCCAAGTATACACAAATAGAGGGCATAACTACTTTTCTCTTCTTGGGGCACATGACTAGACCACTCTAGTCGCCTTGAAATGTTTAAAGTATCCAAGTTATATATACTCATCTTCACCCTTTGTCTTCTAAGGCTGCATATGACTGAACTAACTTAAACTCAGTCTCCCCCAGTTTACCACCAGTTTTATTCTTAGTTATACTCTCTTCAAGTTGTGATACGGCTATAGTCATACCACCTAAACTTATAGAACAGTCTGATTTGCTCGTTCTCAGATAGAATAGTAATAAAGTATAGCCAAGTTATAACCATTGGGTTCCAGCATGTGCGAGGCTTTAAGACAGACCCCCTGAACTTACAGAAGGATCTAACTCTCTGTCAATTTTATTTCTCTCTCAATCATCATGTGTGTGGCATCGAGTCAGACCCCCTGAACTTACTGAAGGATCTGCCCTTTGCCAAGATTACTCTTTCAGGATAAAAAGTAGGAAGAGGTTGAGCCACCTAAGCTTATAGAACAACTCAGACCTCCTCATTTAAAAAACCAAAGAAACACATGAAATCCCAATGAAAACAAGGCAACCCAAGGCACCAAAACTTATTGAATGCCCCAAGTCCCTGAAAATCAGGCACAATCAGACCCTTCACAAGTCAGAGCAGTGAGGCCACCTGAACTTACAGAACAGCCTGACCCTCCAAGCAAGCCATAACACTAGGTCTCCCCAAACAGTTGGGGACATCTCAGCCTCCAGAGCAATCAGACCCCCTAAACTTATAGAAGGGTCTGACGCTCCATGCATACCGAAATAAACAAAGCACAGGGTCTCCCCAAACTTATGGGGACTTCCCAGCCTTAATGACCCAGTCAACCATCAAGCAAAACAACCCTCTATCCTGCATTTCCCCAGATGCAGTTCTTTTCAGCAATCTGAATTCACACAGTCAATAAAGTTAAAACTAAAACTTGATCAGACATTCCTTTATTTAGTCTTGTCCAGTGTCATGAAGGTCAAACGAAAGAATAAAGTAGGGTTGCACATCATATATTTAGTCAGAGATGTAATGAAAAATATAGGTATAGGTTATAATTGGGTTTATAGAAGGAAAAGTAATGGTTACCTGAGAGTTCCGTGCCTCCAGAACCCCTCCTGAGTTTCGGCAGAGCTCCCACAATCGGTGGGGCAACCTCCCACAAAGGCCTTGGCGCGGATTACGGGTTGCAATCCCACCTGCCGCCTTCCTCTCAAAACCAATTGACTAGACTTAGAGTCAGAAGGGTAGAAATAAGGGATTTCAGTCTCTCAGATCCAAGGAGGGTGCTCTCAGACTCGCGTGAAAGGGCCTTCAAACCTTGATGCGCCTGAGGGCCCCGCAATTGCGGCCGAAAACGGTAGCAGCTTGGTCAATCGGAAGTCAAACTGTCAAAACAGACTCCCCTAGCGAATTCCCAAACCACAATGACGACCCCCCTTCGCCGTCGTCGAGCCCGCAATCCAAGGTGCACTTGCCATACGTCAGTTCGCACTTTCGTGGTCGGTCTGTTGCAACTTACTTAGCGTGTTGGGCATCATGTTGTAGCGTGCAGCAGTCGCGAGCCGTCGCCACAGCGGGTTGTTTCCAATCACAGCAACTGCAATGCCGCATAGTAAAAACCCCGCGGTTGGCAACTCCCGTCAAGAAGCGCAGCACTATGCTATGGCAAGCTCAGTAGACGCTCGACAGCGCACGATCAGCAACGCCGGGCACCAGACCGAGTAGCATCCCAGCCAGCAGGCAACCCGCAGACGTATAGTCTTACTTCAAATCTCAGCTTATCGACTATATTCTTCAAAGCCTCTCTTATAGCTCCTTCGGCAATAGCCTAGTAACCGAGGCATATGTCGTAGTAAACACACCAGCAGTTCGATGCTGGAGGCAGGGGTACAACAGGCTGTTGGCCAGCAGCAACAGGCCTAGGATGCAGTGTCACGCAGCGTGCTGTTGCCACCTCCCCAATTAGCTTGGCATAATCAATGAACCTTCCACGGAGATAGGGAACTACGCGTGCCCCTCCAATCGCAGTTGTATAGCGACAGGCAGATGCTACCTCTCATGGGCAGAGCTCAGAAATCAGTTGCGTACCCCAATCCACGTTTGGCAGGTCGTTATCCCAAGAACCCAAGTCCTCAATATCGTACACTTAGCATCATAGCTCTACCCTCGGTTCATCTTGCACCGCCAACCCTCAACGGTACATGCTCCCTCTCTCTCTCTCAGACCTCGCACTCCCCTGCCTTGCACCCGCAACCTCCCCTCATACAAGCTCGGCTAGGAGTTCAGCACTGCAGCTCGACACTCGATCCATCCCATGTTGTCGTTCGGCCGTCCACGCAATGAGATAGAGGCCAGCCTCCATCGATAGGTGCGCAACAGGTTGGGACGAATCTTCCACTAGGACCTGGTTCAATACTTTAAAGTAAGGGCGACAACATCTCTCCCAGGTAAGTCTGTCCGCTGCTTCGCCACGAACCTAGTGTGCAGATGGGGAATGAACCTTCCGCTAAAACGCAGACCGGTACACCCACCCTCTTAGTACTTTTCCCTTTCACACCATATCGCCGACTCCCCCTTTGTCGCACTTGCTGGCCATCGGAGACATAGTAGTGTACCTTTCGCTAAGACAAGGCGCCCTGCCACCCACTGAGTCGTGGGGTTACTCCATCAAACACCAGTATTCACCTACAGGTAACGCAGACGTCCCGAACCGAATGGCTCCCACCTCGCTTCTCTTCTTCAGCTATCACGGTCAACGCCCGGCTTCGCCTACCACGAGAAGCGCACTACTCCGCTCACCATTGTGTAAAAAGAAGGAGAGTGAACCTTATGCTAGAACACGGGTAAGTCCACTCGCCTTTTAATACCTTTCCCACGCGCAGCTCGTTGTGCCAATGTCGACCAAACCGTCACCGAAATCGATAAACTACCCCTACTATCTGTTTCGCATTGACCCATAACCCCAACTTTGACCCTCACTCCACTCGATCCCATCAGGAGTCGAGTGTCATCCTGTTTCTTCACTCCACCATCACTCCATCCGCCATAGCCCCGCGGCCACTTTTTCTCTCTACCTCTAATCCTACTAATCCTTGACTAAAATTAATCTCAAAAATGGAATCGCCCATCGTCAAAACCACGACTCTTATCTTGCCTGATTTCGCTCTGAGATGAGCAAATTATGTTTGCTTCCTCTCCTCCCTTCTTTGAATGAATCCGGCGTCGAAACGTGTCCGGATCCATTCCTTCTTTCCTCCTTCGCTACTGCCCGTCACTCTTCGGTGCTGCGCTCCGCCTTTCCGCTCGCTGAGGCACAGTCGTTGCCTGCCTTTGTTTGCCCCAACGCCCGTCTGTCACAGCCGAGTCTCCTCCACCTCTACCCTGCATGCACCCGGCCTCGAACTTCGTCTCGATGCATTCGCCTTTCCCCCCTTGTCTTCCCGCACCCTGCTGGTCCGCCCACTACCGCTCACTGCCTGCTTTGCTACTCCGCTTAGCATGCATCTGCCATGGGATCCCGTCCCGTTCCGTCCCTTCCCCTCGCTTGCGTATGTCTCACACTCGCTGCTCCGCTTGCCCCGTAGCTCTCTCTGCCCACTCCGATCAGCGCCTCCGGGCGCTCGTAACTTCAGCTGTCCGGCGCCGCCCCGACTACCTCTGTTGCAATTCCCTCTGAATGAACCCGGCGCAAATTCGCGCCCGGGTTCATCTGCTCCGCCACTCTTAGCTGCGCTGCGCTGCTGCCTCACTCCGTCCGCCATCATTAGCCTATTGCCCGACTGCTACCCAACGCTCCGACCAGCCTTCCCTATGTTGGATTCAACCCGACTAGCGCCCCGCGGCTCTGCGAAAGCCTGGTCGATGGGGAACGGAACAACAACTGAGAAAAAAAAAGTGAAACCTCTTCCTATTTTATGCGTGTCAACCTAGCGCAGGGGTCATGCTAATCTTCTCTGTATCGTTCCAATTTTAATGGATGTCGCGAAGGACTTTTCCCAGCAGCTGGCGCCCTGCGGCTCTTCCAAAGGCCGCTCGCCCCACCCCCCCATTTTTACGTTCTCCTACCCTTGTCGCACCTGCATCCGCCCTCTGTTCTTTTCCAGGTTCACTTCTGGACTAACAAGGACTATGCAGTGGCCGAGCTGGCCACCCCAGCCTCCTGCGTCCGTCCGCACGGTCGTGCGACCTACTATTGCGGCGGTACTTAACCCCAAGCCCTCGGCACCGCCTAGGTAGGCACCTCCTGGCCGTCGCCCCGTACCCTAGTCCCACCATCCGACTCAAATATGCGTGTCAACGTAGCGCAGGGGCCATGCTAATCTTCTCTGTAACGTTCCAATTTTAACGGATGTCCCGAAGGACTTTTCCCAGCAGCTGGTGCCCCACGGCTCTTCCAAAGGCCGCTCGCCCCCCCCCCCCCATTTTATACGTTATCCTACCCTTGTCGCACCTGCATCCGCTTTCTGTTCTCGTCCGGGTTCACTTCCGGACTAACAAGGGCTATGCAGTGGCCGAGCTGGCCACCCCAGCCTCCTGCGTCCGGCCGCACGGTCATGCGGCATACTATTGCGGCGGTACTTAACCCCAAGCCCTCGGCACCGCCCGGGTAGGCACCTCCTGGCCGTCGCCCCGTATCCCAGTCCCGCCATCCAACTCAAACATGGGCCTGCACTTCAACAGTGCGCAGGTGCACCACTGAGCTAGGCCCTCGGGCCCCCGCACCGTCCGCTGTATGATGCCCCTAGACAAAACGGGACCTGGTTAGAAGAGAACATGAGGGCCAAAGTAAAGCGTAGAGATAAAAGTAAAAACGTATGACCGTAAAAACATGAGACGTCTACAGAGAGGGGGAAAGGGGACTGCTGGCCCTTCGCCAGCCCCACGAACAGGGCCTGCGGACCAGGCCACCAACAAAACCTTGGGGGGGGGTAGCCCCGTCGGGCCCTCAACCCCTCGGGTTTCTCCACGCCGCTCTGCTGCTGCCGCACCGACGCCCGCTGGCCTCGACCCTCGAGCCTCCGTAGTGTCAGCCAAATGTCGTAACCTATAGGGCTAAGCCCAAGCCTGGTACCAGTGGGCTTGAATCGCCTAATAAAGAGGTAGTGCGCGGCTTCTAAGGCCAAGGAACCGCCCTATGCCATGCCCCGGCCCACCCTCGCGCAGGGGACCACCCAAAGATTTGCGTCGGCCTACCGGCCTTGCCGCGGCTACCCACCCTTAGCCAAATCCATTAGGTCCCATCATCTGGATTTCCGCGTAAGTCCATACAGACTCATTGAACCGTCCACCGTACCGCGCGGAACTAGAGAAAAGAGCGGCCATAGGTTAGTTAGTTTAATCAAAACAAACAATTTGTTATAATGAAGCACGTCGACCGGAATCCACGCCGCATCTTCTATTGTGATAACAGAGAGAAAAATCACGCACGTCTCGAACCTGCGCGCCCACATACTTTCTAATCCTAGATGTTACCTCCAAATCTTTAGCCCACTCGCCCCCGCAACTCGCGAAGTCTTCCCATAAATTCTGAATCGACCCATTCCTCTGTCAACTACAAAAATCCAGTGCGAGTACCCTTGTAAGGGTATTCGCACCGACATCACCAAGCACGCGTACATCGGCGCCCTGTTTCTCAACTCGAAGGGCGGATGCCAGACTTGGTTATGCGACCTGGCATCCACCCATGACGTCGACGTCGCAGATCTGAAAGACAAGATCTCATGGGAAGAGTTAACACGGCTATGGACGAAGTGGTTTATCGTGGACAACGCACCTGCACTCGCCATCAAACGTCTCTTTGGCATGACACAAGGCAACACAGCAACATGTGACAGGCTCACGGAATGACAGAAGATCGCGGTAACGCCCGGTCTTGACTTGCCATTTTCGCATCTGCGCCGCGAGTTCTACGACAGGTCATGTGTTGCATTGAGCCTTGCACTTGGTGATCGCGAGCAATATGCAACCTTCGCTGAAATCATTGACAAGGCGAGGGAGATCATCAAGACCAACAGGGCGGCTGCACACGAGAAGTCAACGTGGCAACCAACCTATGTGGAGAAGGTGAAAACTGGTCCGCGACCGCAGCAGTTCGCTGCAGTCCAATCGGACAACATTGTGGAAGACACGACAGCCACCCAATCGTCACGTGAGGTAGATCAGGTGGCTGTTTTCCAGCCGCGAAGCAACAACAAGTTCCGAGGAAACGAGAAGGCGAAAACCGCATCGCCAGCCGGAAACGGACAGCCAACGCCATGGGTCAAGTTTCACTTGACCGAGGCCGAGTACAAGTACCGCGGCTGCTACGGCTGCTGCTATTGGTGCAATAGCACCAAGCACAAGACCTCCCTCTGCCAGGATCAGGGCAAGGAGGATGTTCGGCCTCGTATTAACTCGGGAAACTGAGTTCCACAGGAGGTGAGGCGACTCCACCTCCCACTCCGCCAGATTCGGCCACCTTGCTAGCGGCCTCCTACACATTTGGGGAGGATGCGAATGTCGTAAGTTCTCGGTATGCTTACAAGGACTATGCTGTCCACTTGGTCCCACCGTTGGACTAACCGCTCCATGTGCAACAATCTACCTCATGCACGGTTTCATCACCATCGGCAACTGATTCAAAAGCTTCGCCGCCATCTACCGCCGGGGATTCAACGTCATGGCCAAGACTTGAAGAGCTTGACCCGTTGACATTTGCGGACTTCCAATGGATGCCCCTTCCCCGGTCCGGTCGATTGCCGAAACCGCATTGCAACGTGCTCATGGCACAATTGCGGGATTACTTGCACACTGTAGTACCAACTCCGTTGATGGACATCAGAGTAGAGGTTGTCGACCTTCACGTCTACATTGTGAAGATCGAGCGCGAGTTCAAGACACAACAGTACGACGACATTGACGCACCATTGTTATATGTACGCATTCTGATCGGAGAGGCGACCTGCAACGCTTTGATCGATTGTGGAGCATCTTGCAACTACATGAGCCAGGATTTTATGGTACGCGTCGGCCTTGGCCCACGCGTCCGGAGGAAGTCCCAGCCGACGCAAGTCACGTTGGCGGACGGTCACACACACAAGTCAATAGACCGGTGCATTGATGACGTCCCCGTGTACTTTGCCCCGCACGCGAGCGGGGCGGTGTCCTTCGATATGTTGGACACCAAATTCAACATGATCTTGGGCATGTCATGGCTGCGAAGCAAGGATCACCTCGTGAACTTCTACCGCCGCACCGTTCACTTTCGTGATCGGAATGGAGTACTAGTCCCATGCACGGTAGCTCCTGCTCACCCTTCAATCAGCTGTCACGTGGTGTCCACCGCAAGCATGCGAGCTTCCATCATCAGAGACGACATCGAGGAGATGGGGGTGTGTTTTCTCCACGCCCTCGTGCCCGATGACACTTCAGCGACGGACTCATCTTCGGACCCACGCATCACCGAGCTTCTCGACGCCTACGGCGACGTGTTCGAAAGCCCGCACGGAGTAGCACCGGATCGGTCCATCCGCCACGAGATCATCCTCGAGGACGGGGCCGTACCTCCGCGCGGTTGCATCTACCGAATGAGCAAGGAAGAGTTACGTGTGCTTCGGGCACAACTCGACGACCTTCTGGAGAAAGGTTGAATTCGGCTTAGCTCATCGCCTATTCTCAGCGATTGGTCAACGCTGTGATAAACTGTATGGCGATGAGCTAAGCTGAATTCGGCTTAGCTCATCGCCATACGGCACAACTTGACAATATATATATACATATATATACATATATGTATATATATATATACTCAACGCTGTGACAAGACGGAGAAGAAGAAGAAGCAAAAAAAGAAACAGTTTGTCACAGCGTTGAGTATATATATATACATATATGTATATATATATATATATATATATATATATTGTCAAATAGAACTGTCCGGTAAACCGTAGGCAGAGAGGGAGAAGAGGACAACAAACGAGGGGCTGTGACAAACTGTTTCGTCGGAGTTTCACCGACTATATATATATATATATATATATATATATATA